GGTAGAGCACTTGCCTGGCATGTGTGAGATGCACTGGGTTCGATTCTCAGCACCACATATAAATAAATGAATAAAAATAAAGATCCATGCATCTAAAAAAAATTTTTTAAAGGTTAATTAACATCTAAAAAGAAATTTTTTTAAAAAAGAAATTATATTATAGGTCCTGCAGCTATCAAAAGGGTAATAAGGAAATTTTACAAACAACTATACTCTCATAAACTAAACTCTCATAGACTTAGAAGAAATGGAACAATTCCTTGAAAACTACAAACTATGTAATTCAAACAAGAGAAAATAGATAACAGTATTAGTGCTGCAAACATTAAAGAAATTTGAATCTGTGAATGTATTAAAAGCTCCTGAAAAAGAAATCCCCAGGCCCAAGTGGTTTTAACCAGAGAATTAAAAATAATTAACATAAGTTTTACTGTCTCTGCCAGAAAATACAAAAGGAATGAAAACTTCTCAACTGTTTTTATAAAGCTAAAATTACCCTGATACCAAAACAAGGCAATGACAGTACAAGAAAATAAAACTACAGATCATTTCTTTCATGAACTTGGAATAAGAAGTCATTACCAAATATTCCAAAGTCAAATTCAGCAATACGTTAAAAATAAGCATATACAATGCCCAGAGGGGCTTTATTCTAGAAATAGAAAACTAGTCCAATGTTGAAAACTAATGTAATATACATAGCAATAAGTTAAAGAAAAAATTAAAAATAAGCATATACAATGCCCAGAGGGGCTTTATTCTAGAAATAGAAAACTAGTCCAGTGTTGAAAACTAATGTAATATACATAGCAATAAGAAAAAATAAATATCATTTTGATGCAAAAAAATTATTTGACAAAATCTAATGCACATTTATGATTTTTTTGAGACAGGGTCTCACTAAATTGCTTAGGGCCTTGATAAGTTGCTGAGACTGGCCTCAAACTTGTGATCCTCCTGTCTCGCCTCCTGAGTTGCTGGGATTACAAGCATGTGCCACCACACCCAGCATGATAAAAACTCTTTGAGTTAAAAGAAGTGAATGGTCTCATCTTGATAAAGAGTACCTATAAAAACTTAGAGCTAACATCCTAAACTTCATGCTTTTCCTCTGAGATCAAGAAAAAGATGAAGATAGCTATTCTCATCGCTGCTATTCAGCATATTACTGGAAGTTCCAGCCACTGCCATGAGCTAAGAAAGAAAATGCCTACTGATTTGGGAAAAAGGCAATCAGATGACATAACTGTATATGTACACACTCACAGAGCTAATAATTGAGTTTGGTAAGGTCTCAGGATATGAGATCATCACACAAAAACCAATTACATATCTATGTACTAATAAATGTAGAAAACAAAGTTAAAAATCAGTATATTTTATAACCACTCCTAAGCAAAGTAAATTCAGGTATCAACATGTACAGGATTGACCTGTGTCCTGAAAATTACAAAGTAACAACAAAAAACATCAGGCATAGATAAATGTAATACTGCTTTTGTGTTTTGAAGGACTAAACATAGTAAAAATGTTAATTGTCCTTAAATTGACCCATAGATTTTATGCATTTCTTATCAAAACCTACGCAGCTTTTTTCATTGACATAGAGAAGATTATTCTAAAATTTACATGGGAAAGCCCAGGCCTAGAAGTTAAAACAATCTTGAAGTATAATGTGGAAGGAATTGGTCTGAACAATTTGGTAGGGGGTGAGGAGTACTAAGGATTGAACCCAGGGATGCTTTGCCACTGATTTACATCTCTAGCCTTTTTTGTTTTTTATTTAGAGATAGAGTCTTACTAAGTTGCAGAGGCTGAATTCAAACTTGTAATCCTCCTACTTCAGCCTCCCAAGTCATTGAGATTACAGGCATGTGCCACGGCACCCAACTACTTTACCCAGTATTAAGGCCTACTTCTGTAATTACAGTAACCAGAATAGTGTGGTAATGGCAGAGGAACAAATAATTGGGACTGAATAAAAAAATCCAGAAATAGACCCATACAATATGCCCAACTGATATTTGAAAGAAATCTGAAAGATCCCTCAACAGAGGAAGGTTATCATTTTCAACAAATAATGCTGGTATATTAGACCAAAAGAAAAATAATGTAAGTTTTGGAAGTAATGCTAAGCAAAGAGTTCATAGACTTGACCCCAAAAGCAAGATCACTAAAAGAAAAACTGATATATTAGACCTGGTGAAAATGTAAAACTTTTGCCTTGAGAGGACATTCCTGAAATGATTAAAGAACAAGCTGCAGACTGGGAGAAAATATTTTCAAACCCTGTTTCCAACAAAGTTCTAGTATCTCAAGTATGTAGAGAATTCTCAAAGCTCAATAGTTAGAAAAAAAATCTAATTAGAAGAGTCAAAAGACATTTCACCAAAGAAGATATGAGATAGCAAAAAAGCACATGAGAATATATTCAACATTATTAGCTGTTAGGAAAATGTAAATTCAAACCATAATGAATCAGATGTAGTGACAACCTGTAATCCCAGCAATTCAGGAGGCTGAGGCAGGCGGTTTGCATGTTCCAGACCAAGCTCAATGACTTAGCAAGGCTTTAAGCAATTTAGATCCTGTCTGAAAGTGAAAGATAAGGGGTAGGGATGTAGCCCAGTGGCAAAGCACCCCTAGGTTCAGTCCCCAGTATCACCACCACCAACAAAAATACATATTGAAATATCACCATACACCTATCAGAATAGCTAAAAAAAAAAAAAAATGTAGTGGTAACAACAAACGCAAGGATGTGAAGAAACTACATCACTCTTGCACGTATAGGAATGTGTAAAGTGACACTGTCACTCTGGAAAACAGTTTGCCAATTTCTTATTAAACTAAACATGGGACTGGAGGGTGGGGGTGATTCAGTGGTAGAGTACTTGCCTAGCGTGTTGGAGGCCCTGGGTTTGATCCCCTGCACCACAAAAAGAAAAATAGATAAATAGGGGCTAGGATTGTGGCTCAGTGGTAGAGTGCTTGCCTTATATGTATGAGGCACTGGGTTCAATTCTCAGCACCACGTGTAAGTAAATGAATAAAATAAAGGTCTAGCAACAACTAAAAAATTTTTTTTAAAATAAATAGATAAATAAACTGAACTTGCAGCTATCATAATGACTCGGTAACTGTACTCCTGGACATTTAACCCAGAGAAATAAATGCTTATCTTCACTCAAAAATCTGTACACAAATTCATAACAGCTTTATTCATAATAAACAAAAACTGGTTCTTAGATGTGTGAATAAATACAATGGAACATCCATACCATGGAATATTACTGGGAGTGAGCAACTACTATTGAGACAAGCAACAACTTGGATGACTCTAGAGAATTACACTGAGTCAGAAAAAGTCATCCTCGTAGATACTATATGATTTCATTTATATACACTCTTGAAATGATAACATTATAGAAATAGAGAACAGATTAATTTGGCACTGTTCCCAGTGACTGCAGAGGCTTAGGCAGTAGGATCACAAGTTCAAGGCCAGTCTCAGTAACTTTATGAGACCCTTTCTCAAAATAAAAAGGCTTGAGGATGTAGCTCAGTGGTAGAGTACTCTGGTTCAATCCTCATTACCAGAAAGAAAGGAAGGAAGGAAATGGAAAACAGAGTAGTATTTGGCAGGGGTCAGAACTGGGAGGGAAATAAGGGAGGTGTATTTGACTATAAAAGGACACCAGTGATGCTTGTGGCCATGGGAGTATTCTGTAACTTCATTGATGAATATCAGTATCTTGATTGTAATATTATACCATAGTTTTGTAAAATGTTACCATTGGGAGTGTTGACTTAATTATATGTGAAAGTGCAATTGTTTCAAAATAAGTTTGTTTAAAAAAAAAAAAAAGCATAATGATACCCACCCTTCCTGTGCCAGAGCATCATCTTAAGTATCAAAGGAGGAATAAGCTAAGCAAGCTGTGTCATGATGGATGCACATGGTAGCAATAAGCCTTACCCATCCACATGTTTATTTTGACTTGAATCTTTAGGATTTCTACCTACCATATCCAAAAAAATACAATTAATTTTATATATTGTCATCTTTAAAAATAAGGGTCATTTATCTTACAGCTAATACTTTTTGAAGACTATTTGTGCTGGTCAGCATACGAGGAATAAAAAAGATAGTAAAATAAGAGTGATTGAGCTCAGTCCATATCACATATAACAGTTGATCTGAATTTGGATGTAAAGCTGTTATTTTTTATTAAAACTTCACTTTTACTGTAACATAGTTTTTATTCTGTATTTTAGGATTCAAGAGACTCATAAAAATTCTGGGATTACAGGTATGGTGATGACGTATGGTGATGCATACCTGTAATCCCACAGGCTCAGGAAGCCAAGGCAGGAGGATCACAGGTTCAAAGCCAGCCTCTGCAGCTTACCGAGGCTATAAGCAACCTAATGAGACCCCCATCTCAAAATAAAAAATAAAAATGGATGAGGATGTAGCCCAATAGATAAACACTCTTGGGTTTACTCATACAAAAAAAAAAAAAAGATTGTGGTCTTTGATTAGCCACAGAACTTGGTTTTTATTTTTTAAAAAGGCCTATTTTCATATTTTAATATCAATTTGGAATACACCTTAAAATCAATTATATTGATCTAGTTTTAGTTTTATTGGCAATCTTTTTTCTTCTTGATAATACATAAATAATGGTAAATCTTAAACTTTAGGGTCCTTTCTAAGTTTAATGAGATCTGATAATAATGTCTAAAATCAACTATTCTTTGCAGTTTTTATCTAAATATTTTACCTGTCTTTATTTGTTAAACAGGGTTTGGGAAGGAAGGAGTTTGGGGATTTTTTTGTTTGTTTTATTTTTTCTCTCTTTAGAGGGATTGTTAACAAAATGAGGGTATGATGATAAATTCAGTGATATTCTTTGGTGATAATATATTATTTTTATATATGCAAATGCTAAAACCTTATTTCCCCTTACCATTTTTTTTTCTCTTTGTTTTTCAAGTGTCAATATACAGTATCTGGTTTTATGATAAGAATGACTGTCACCGCATAGCAAAACTCATGGCTGAGTAAGTATGTTTCCTTTTTACTGCCAAAAATTTGAAAAAGGCAGAAAAACCTAACTCTGAACTTGTCTATAATTCTACTACTTCCAGTGTTTGCAAATGTCTGTTTCCAGTCTTTTTCTTCATGAATACATCAGGTTGATATGTGGATTGTTTTTTTAGAAAAATAGCCTCATGCTGTATATTCTGCTTTTAATGTCAAGGCATTAAATTTTCTCCAGTTGTATTTATAATGACTGTATCATATCTGGTCCAACAATTCATAATTTAACCAAAAGTTTACTGTAAGTTAGGGCGACCAACTTGCCCAGCTCCAGAGGCTGTCAGCTAATCCAGTACATAGCCTGACTAGCATATGCAGTAGCTATCGAAATTTCCACTGTAACAGATGGTACTATATTCAGTGGCCTGTAAGAAAACTCCTGCACACATCCATTTGAATTCCTTTAAGCAAACTTGCTTTTGACACAAACTAGGTTTAGCAGTCCCCAATCCACTAACAGATTATCTTCCAGAAGGTTTTGTTACAACCCAAAATCTTTGAAATTTGGAAAATTTCATTGAATTAATGTTCTGAAGGGTGACTCATGTCCTTTCTGAAGCTAGCCTGTAGAAAATATCTTGTGTGGCCTATCCATATTACTAGACTGCCAGTCTGTATTCTGGGAGCCCAAGACACTGTGGTTCTGAAGGAGCTTCAGGGGCTACAGAACTTGGACAGTGCTGCATGGACAATGTGTTCTGGTGTACCTCTGCCTCCTCCTCTTCAGTTTTTGCTTAAATTCTTCTCAGAAATGTAGATCTTTCTTCCCCATCTGTCAAATCTAAATTCCCTTTGCTCTCCTGCAAGGTTTATACTGCATGTTTGGAAGAAAACAGTACTAATTTTTTTTAACATTCTAATTTTTAATTAATTGTCCTAAAAGCATAGATAAGTAGTTAACCCCCAAACTTCAGTTTTCAGTTTACATTTTTTTAAGAAAGGTTCACATAGCCAAAGCCAAATTATAATCCAGGAATGTCCTGGCATGTCCTGATTGGTTGCTTATTAGCCTCCTACTCTGTCTGCTCTGGCTATGAGCTCAGAAAGCAGGCCCATGTTTGTTACTGTGTTCACCCTGGAGAGCATCTCTCCCTGTGAACTTGTAGTTATTTATTAGAAAAAGGGCTGGCTCTCTAGAACCTTTTTTTTCTTACCTCTAAAAAAGATTTATCTGTTTTTCAGCAAAAAAGTTCATTTAATTTATAAGGAATAGAGGTTTATGATTTTTAAGTCTAGGAGCATGGTACCAACATCTAAGGGAGGGTTGTCTTCTTGCATCATAATATGAAGGAGGGCATCATATGAGAGCAGGCATGTTAGTGCAGGTCTGCATTATTTCTCATAAAGCCACTGATGCCATTATGAGGACTTCATCTCGTGATCTTAACAAAGGCATTGCTTTGATGATCATTTTTGTGTGTGTGTTTACTGGGAATTGCCCTTAGGGCTTTAAGAATGCTAAGCAAACCCTGTACCACTGAGCTGTACACACAGCCCTTCATCACTTTTTTCCCCTCCAGGTCCTTGAACATGCTAGGCAAGCACTCTGCCGCTGAGCTACATTCCCACCCTTTTTATTTTTATTTTGAATCAGGGTCTTGGTAAGTTTCAACCTTTTAATCCCCAAACTTCAGATCCTCATGCCTCAGCCTCCCAATAGCTAGGATTACAGGTGTGCACCATCGTACCCAACTTGTTTTTAATTTTGAAAGTATCAGTGAAGGCAGCTGACTCTTCTGGTTACTAAAAAAACACATGTGGTTTGTTGATCTATCCAGAATATTTGTCTTAAATACCTAAATTTAGGAGTATATTAACATATTCACATATTCTCCTGCAACATGACAGCATTTTGACCCTAAATGAGAGAATCTGGCTCCTTGAGCCCTAACATATACAGAGAAAATTATTTTCAATTTTTTTCTCTTTAAAGGCAAGTGGCACCCCCTAATACCAGACTTCAGATGGCAAATGAAGCTGAAAACTGAGACCTATTGAAAATATTGTATTGAACCCTAAAATAGGATGAGGAAGTAGAAACAGGAAGCAGGGAGGGAAAAGAATATTTGAGGTTCTTTCATACTGTCAGCTTGTTTTACTAGAAACAAAATTAAAGTATTAAAAAAAATAGAGCTGGCCTGTTTATAGAGGAAGATAATGCCTTATAAATGTTACCACTTTTTTGAATAAATGACTTTATAATCACCAAAGATAAATCGGAATGTTTTTCATTGTTTTAAAACTGCCAATAGCCGGCCACAGTGGTGCACACCTATAATCCCAACATCTCAGGAGGTGGATACAGGAGGATCCCAAGTTCAAGGCCAGCTTCAACAAGACCCTAAGCAACTTATGACTCTGTTGCCAATTAAAAAAAAAAAAA